GAGAGAGATGGGGTTGTAGACTTCTAGGAATAGTCTATGAGAGCTAAAACCCACTGCCTCCTCTTATAAACAGTACTTCAGCTGAGTTGTTGAACTGGAAATTAATTGGATACTAATTTGTTCTCGGCTCATGCTTTAATGAGCTTGTAGTTCTGTGTATTTAATTTGAAAGTACATTTGATAAATAATCCATTAAAAACAAATTGAGACTGAGAATGAATGCATTGGAAATTTCAGAAGTCAGTAATTGAGATTATTGCCATCATATGGTTTTTGATTATTTTTTATTTATTTGAAAGGCGGAGAGACAGAGAAACAGACAAATCTCCCATTTGCAGGATCAGTCCCCAAATGCCTGCAGAGGCTGGGGCTGGGTTGGACCAAAGCCAGGAGCCTGGAACCTGATCCAGGCCTCCCGTGTGGGTGGCAGGGACCCAAGTGCTCCAGCCAGCATCTGCCGCCTCCCAGGGTGCGTGCTAGCAGGAAGCTGGAACTGGAAGCGGAGCCAGGTCTCAAACTCGGGCTCCCTGACGTGGCACGGGGGCCTCCCAAGCAGAATCTTAGCTGCTGCACTAAATGTCCATCCTTGGTTTAATTCCTTAACCAGTGTTTAGATGCCCGTGGTAGCATTCCGCATTTCTCCAAAATGGGAGAGAGTCTAACGTATGGGACCCCACGATCTGTGTGCAGAGCCTGGTGACGTGGGTCCCCGGGACACCTGTACTGCAGTGGCCGCTGTCCTTTCCCTGAGCGTCCTCAGCTCAACACGCTGGCCACGAGCCCGAGGCTGAAACCTACCGTGTGCAGCAGGATCCCTCTGATGCCCTGGGGGTGACAGTGCAATCATGGGGTCCCTCACAGAGCAGTCCTCTTCCTGAGACCCTCGTGCCGGGCTCAGTTACCTGGGGGCAGGGCAGCAGAGCAGGCAGCCAGCAAATCATTTCACCCAGGGCAGGGACAGGCCTGCCAAGCCCACAGCATGGGTGGGTGTCTGGCATGGGGCTGGGCAGCCCACGTATCCGCTCCTAAGCCACGTGTCTGTCAAGGAGGATGGCCTCACTGGCAGCGGAGCTGGGCACTGTGAGAGCTATGCTCGCCCTGACCCTGAACTGCCACCGCCCCTGCTGTCCCCTGCCTTTGCAAGTGCCTGTCCCCTGTGGGCATGGCCCCTGGATCCCAGCCATCCCACCCCTAAATTGATGGAGAGACTTGGGTTTCAGGAAGGAGTCCACAGGACTTTAGTTGTTGGCAAGCGATAAGATCAATAACATAGAAAATCCAACTTAGGCTTCAAACTATTAAACTGAGAAGATGTTCCAGCAAAATGTCTACTATGAGACCAACTTATAAGACCCAAAGTTCCCTTTACATTAGAAAATAACCATATATAAGACCTAATAGAAGAAACATGCTACTCATGATGTCAGTAAACCTACACAACACCTAGGCTTGAGCTTCAAGAAAACTTTCTAGAGGCCACATGGGAAGAAAAAAACTTAAACTGAACTGAAATTCTTGAAATATGACCTTATTAAAAGGAGAGACCTACCATGTACATGAATAGGAACGTTTTTATTGTGAAAACACAAGTTCATCCCAAATGGATCTGTGCCTTCAGTGTAGTCCAAGCTGAAGTCTCAGTGGATATTACACCATTCGGAAATTCATCTGAAAGAGAAAAGAGGCAATAACAGCCTAGACACTGCTGGAAAAAGAACAGTACCCAAGGAAAGCAGGCTATCGGCAAGGTTGCCAACACAATTAGACAGAGAAAGGGCAGCCCTGTTCACTAACGGTTCCGGGACAACCGGGCTTCCGCAGGGAGAGGAAGGAAGGGCCGCTCCTGCTTCAAGCTACACCCAGAAAGCAGTTCAAACTGGATTGGAGACCTCAGTGCGAGAGCTAAACCGACAGTTTTTGAAAGAAAACGTAGGTGTGGATCCTCACGCACTCAGGTTGGCCCGCGGTTTCTTAGATACAGCACCTAAAGCATAAACAACCGAAGGGCAGAAAACCCTGCAAACGGGAGTGCATCCAAGTGAAAACCACAAGGCCTCACTGGACACACAAGCAAGTGAAAACCCATGTAGACGGTGGTATGAATCATTCCCAACCACGGATCTCCTAAGAGCCTCGAACCCAGGACTTAGAGAGCGTTTCCAGCAGCAGGAAGACAGCAATGCTATCTGGAAGTGGAGAAAGATTTGCGCAGGCGTCTCTTCAGAGGACTTGGACACACGGCCAACTGCCCACGCAGAGGCGCTCGACGTCATTAGTCTGGTTTAGGGAAATGAAGGGAAAACACACCGAGATACGACTTCACATCTGCTGGGCCGGCTGTAACAGAGAAGCACTGCAAGGCGTCGGCGGGAACGTGGCGAGGGCGACTCCCTCAGCGCCGGCTCGTGTTGCTGCAACGCGGCCTGGCTGTTTAGGAAAGCAGTTTGGAAGCACTTCTAGAACCTTCCGTGCGATCTCGCAGTTCCGCTTGTTGGTTTATACCCACATTCCTACTCGCAGTAGGTACCCAGGCGAGTGAAAACTGCGTCCTCACAAAGACGCGTGCCCTCGCATGCCTGCAGCGTGCCTCGCTCTAGCCAAGAACTGGAAAAAGCCTGTACGCCCATCAGCCGATGGTAAGCAAAGCACTGAGTCTTCAATGGTAGGAAGGAGTGGCGCGTGACACCTGCCACACTACAAGTGACCCTTGGGAACGTTGTGCTGATGACGGAAGCCCGACCAAGCAGGCCGCTTGCTGTCTGACTCTATCCCAGGGCTCCCCTGGATCCTGCGGCTTCCGCTCCCGGCCACTGTGGTAAAGTGGAAGCTGCAGCAAAGCCGGTCGGTACATCCAAGAGTTCCATTCACAGCATGTGGTGGTCTGCTGAGTGTGCGACCGCCTTCTGTCTTCGAGAACAGGCGGGCATACACCTTAACCACAGAGAGCTTTATTCTTCACGACTGTGATGAACGTCTGAGCTGTGGGGAATGGCGCCAGGAGACACAGGATCACCACAAATCTGTTGCACAGTAAAACAAGGTCTGCCTGTTTGTGCAACGCACAGCACAGGCAGAGTTGCAGGGCTAGAAAGTGGAGTAGTGGGCGCCAGCCGCCAGGGGAGTGTGTAATTGTGAGCGAAGGTTTGGGGAGGGGCCATGATAGGGATGGCTTGGAATTAGATGGTCGTGATGGGTGCACAGCACTTGGGATGCACGAAAACCTGCTCATTGTGTGCCTTTAAAAGGTATTACGGCCGGCGCCGTGGCTCACTAGGCTAATCCTCTGCCTTGCGGTGCCGGCACACCTGGTTCTAGTCCCGGTCGGGGCGCCGGATTCTGTCCCGGTTGCCCCTCTTCCAGGCCAGCTCTCTGCTGTGGCCAGGGAGTGCAGTGGAGGATGGCCCGAGTGCTTGTGCCCTGCACCCCATGGGAGACCAGGAGAAGCACCTGGCTCCTGCCTTCGGATCAGCGCGGTACGCCAGCCGCGGTGGCCATTGGAGGGTGAACCAACGGTAAAAGAAGACCTTTCTCTCTGTCTCTCTCTCTCACTGTCCACTCTGCCTGTCAAAAAAAATAAATAAATAAAAGGTGTTATGATATGTGAGCTGTATCTTAACCAGAGAACTGGCTCTCTCTGATATCAAAATGTAGTGTAGAGCAATAGTCATCAAAACTGTGCGGTGTGACACAGAAACAGAGCAATGGAGATTTGTCAGTGGGCTAGCCACAGGGGGCAAAGGTGAAGCCACAGTGTTGTGGGTGCTGCGCGTGTGACGAGGGGACACCAAGACCAGGAGGAGGACAGATGGCGGGGAAGAACAACTGGCCCTTGGTCTGTAGGGGAAATTGGCTTCCAGCCTCACACTTGCACACACAATCGCACACATTGCAGACACGTGTGAGCGCTCACTGTGAGATGCTGGAAAGAGGAAAATGAAGAACTGATTGATGACGTTTCCCAAAGCTGCCTGCAGATGCACGCAATGCGGCAGGTAGCTAGTGTGCAACCACCAGAAACCCTGGGCGGAAGCCGTGATGAAGCAGAGCAGGTTACTGACAGAGGATGGCTCTCTTGCACCTGTCAAGCACTCCCAAATCAGCGAGAAGGCAAACAAAATGACAAATGCCGCTCTCCCATCCCCCGCGTCCGCCGTCTGTCACGTGACCTCACGCTGTTGTGTTCTGCCTCATGACAGAGGTCCCTTTTTCCCTCTTCCACTGCCTCCACCGCTCTGTGCCGGCTGGTCCCTTTTCTCGGCAGAGTCTTTGCCGGACAGAACAACTGCACACAGACCCTGCCTGGAGACAGGGTGTTCCTGCTGTGGGGGAGCGGCCTGGCACGTGGGGGAAGTCCGCTCTGTGTCCCCTGCGGGAGCTGCAGCCCCTCCCCCACAGGGACCCTACACACAGCAGCACCCAGGGGCCCTCAGTGAGGGGTGCTGAGTTCACCAGGCAGCCACCTACGTGGGGTTACAGCTGAGCCCCGCACAGATATCCATCCCCACTACGGACGTGTCCCTGCTGTGTTTTCTCTTGCAAGCAGTGAGGTTTGTAGAGGACGGAACGTGGGAGCTGCTGTCCACGCTGAGCGGAGCTTCCTGCCCTCCCCTACCGGGACTGACCTTCACCCCCAAATCGGTGACTCAGTTCCTCTCAGCTGCTTTGCTGCTGTTATAACCTCAGATTTAGGCCCCGCTGTGTCACGTTCCACGGTATGCTTCACTCCCGCCTCCAGTTCCCCGTGTCCTCACAAAAGGCAGTGGACATGAGGATAAAACAGCGACATCGCCATGACGGGCTCGTGGCTGGGTTTCACGGGACACTCTGCACCCGGGCTCTCCTGAAGGGGTCACGGACGCCAGAGTGGACCTGGGATGTGTTTGCAAAGCCCTCCTGATGACCCCAGGCAGAATCTGACACTCCTGCCGTGGAGCCTGGCCGATCAGGGTGGGCTTGGCGTCCACAGGAAGACCCCTGCTTATGTTACAAGGAAATCTCACGGGAGGGCTGGAGAGGGTTGGCTGAGTGCCAGTGGGCGTGAAGATGCTAATTACTGAACCTGCTCTCTCCTCCCCTTCAGGGTCACTGCTACTACCACGGCCATGTGCAGGGATACGCCGGCTCACTGGTCAGTCTCAGCACTTGCTCTGGTCTCAGGTAAGTGGCCATGACCGTCACAGCCCCAGCCTCAAGCGCACCAGCCACAGGCCACCTCTGGGTGTTCCCGGTCACTCTACCCCAGGAGTAAGGGATGGGCCCGCGGCACAGCCACGGCCACCCAGGCCCCGGGTTCCCCTTCCCGTGCTATCTTCCGCCCCTGTGGGCTGGGGACCCCGAGCTGGCGCAGACTCAGGTTCCGGATGTTCTGTGAGACCCACTCATGTGGAGCGCGTGCCTGAGGCTGCCAGTGACGGGACGCGCGGTGTCGGTGCTGAGGCCGCTGGCCTGGTAGACGCTTCAGAGGGTCTTGTTAGGAAGCAAAATACAGGAACTGCTCCGACCTTGGCCGGGGTGAGGAGAACACAGGCGGGGACGGGTCAGGGGCTTGCTGCAGGGCGGGGGTCACAAGGCTCCCTGGGGAAACTGCTTCCCGCACAGCCCCCCACCCCCACCCCAGTCCGCCGCCATCCTCAGGGCCCCCCGGGAAAGCCCTCTCCTGCCGCAGTCCCAGCTCCGCAGCGTTCCCACGGTTGAGGCCTCGAGTTCAGGTCCTCGGCGTCCAGGGAGGCTTGGGCGTCTGGTGCCAGAGCGCGATTCCGCGGGGAGAGGACCCGGGAGAAGGCGCGGCTCGAGTGGAAGGCAGGGCTGTGCACGTGCACCGGCAGTGGCAGCCCCACCCCTGGGCTCTGTGTGGGACCCTGGAGAAGGGGAATGCTCACCTGTGTGTAGCACACACACCATGACACCCGGGCACACACAGCATCATATGCCACCACACACCATGTATTACTCATACACACCACAACACACAAGGCAACACACCACACACGACACAATATACACCACTATACAACGTACCACACACATGACACAACACATACATGGCATCATACACCACACAACACACATAACACATATCACAACACACGACATATTACACATACACACGACAACACACACAACCTGTTACACATACATACCACAACACACGCACGCAACACAACACGATACACATACACACACGGTATCATACACCATAACACAACACACACACATAGCATCATATAGCACAACACGTGACATATCACATGACGTATGTTTCCCTCCCGCCGCTCACTCGAGTGCCCTCGGTGCCAGCACCAGTGGTTCTCCGTGTGGGGGCGCAGCGGTGCGTGGGACCTGTGCCCCAGAGCCCAGCCCAGCAGAGGGAGCAGGCGATGAGCGAGAGTGAGGCGCGTGATGGGTCGGGGAGGCTGAGCCAGGCAGAGGGAAGGCCAGTGGTGGAGGTCGGAGGTATGGGGGGGGTCACAAGGTGGGGAGGAGGGCACCCCAGACTCCTGCAGGAGGTGCACCCCCGGCAGAGGGAACAGCGCATGTAAACGCCCAGGTGCCCCTGGAGCAGCCGGCCAGGCTGGGGAGGCAGGGGAAGCAGCTGGGGTCAGAGGGGACTTGGAAATGCAGGTGGTGGTGGTGACCCCTGCCCTGCTGAGCAGAGGAGACAGGGCTGAGTGGACATTCCCACAGGGTCGCTCCAGCTGCCAGGCCTGGAGACAGGAACCCAGCCAGGTCCCTGCACGGCCGCTGAGGCCTCGGGAGGACCTGGAAGCCTTGCGGGTGGGGGTGGGGGTGGGGGTGGGGGTGGGGGTGGGGGAGGGGTGTTGGGGAGGCTGTGACTCCACGCTTGCTCCTGCCTGTGCCTGCCCCAGTGGTGGGGGGCGTGGAGACGCAAGAGCCCCGAGCTCCAGTCCCTGTTAAGGTGCTGAGGAGGACATGGTGTGTGTGGGGGGGGGGGGTCCCCGGGTGGGCTCTGCACAATGGCATGGCCCGCCGTACCCTGGGGGTCTCTCGGGAGCAGGTGGGGGAAGGGAGGGTGTGGAAGTGAGGTTTGGGAGGAACCCCGCCCCCCAGGTGTGAGGGAGGAAGTGTTGAGGTGGAATCAGCCAGGGGTCACAGTGGGATGCAGGGTGGGAGGAGGCTGTGGGAGAGCTGGGGGTGGGTGGGGGTGAGGGGCTGGACCCTGAGTCCCAGGAGCACAGCAGCAAGTGGGGGGGGGGAGTGAGAAGGTGGCAGCGTCGTGTGGGGGACAAGGGCCCAAGCTCTTGAGGGCGACAGAGATGGGGGTGGGGGTGAGGTCAGAACCAGAGGTGTCCAGGGTGACGGTGAGGGTGGGTAGTCTGGGACAGGGGACATGTTCTCATCCTGGGCCGTGATGGCCAGGCCGTCATCCAGCCGTGGGACAGTGGACAAGCCCGCAGCCCTCCCCGAGCCCCAGCATCCTGGGTTTAAAACAGATAAACTCTCCAGCTGGAGGGGGCGGGGATGTTTGGATGGTGCGTTCAGTGGCCTATAGGAGAGCTCGGTGATGAGCCCGCCTTGAGAGAGCGACCAATCACAGTCCCTCGGCCTCTGGAGGGAGTGCCACGGTGTGCCGGGCTGGGGCTGGGGCCGGGGCTGGGCAGCTCCGGGAGGTGTGCCTGCACGCTGCTCCTTGGCTCTGCCCATGCCCAGACCCAGACCCAGGCCAGGCCATGTGGCACGGCGGTCATGGCGACCTCGCTCCTGCGGCCAGTCGGTAGACACACGCGGAAAGGGGAGATCGACAGTTGACAGCCGTGCTTCTCAGAAGACCCGAGGAGGGACGTGTTTGTTCCGAAGGTTGTTCAGTCCAGGCTGGGCATTTCCATGTTACACGGTGCCCAAAGGAATGACAAGCGAATTCCAAGTGGCATGAAAAAGACAGAATGACCCGGGGACAGACCGCGCAGCTGAAAAGCCCAGCGACAGCCACAGGCGTGGCCGGGTCCAGGGTCCCGGTGCACCTGCCTGCGTCTGATTCCTCTCCACCTCTGCCTTCCTCCACGCTGGTGTCGTCCCCGGGCGTGGTCCCAGCCTGGGCTGCAGTCTCGGAGCACCATCAGCTGATTGATCCCGCAGTGACGTCCGAGACCGAGGTGCGGACGAGAGCACTTCCTCTTGAGGCCTCTTGGCTGAGCTTGCGCCGGCCAGCCCAGGGCGGTGCCCACTGCGCGCAGAGGAGGGAGCCCTGGTGTCTTCCTTGGGCCCCAGCCTCAGGGCCTCACCTAAACCCGCTCACCTGCTGTCACTGTTGAGGTAGGGACTAGGACCGCCGCTGGAACTTGGGGATGGACAGCAAAGCCACTTTCCGCCCCTGGTGGACGCCATTTGCTTATCTTTTATGCCAGCAGCACCAGGCTCCGTCCTGAGACGTGAGGAGGGTGGGGCCTGGCTGCGAGGTCAGCTCAGGTGCGCCACGTGCATCTCGTCGGCTCTGGCAGGACCATCGGGGTGGGGGGCTGAAATAATCGCAGGAGCAAGATGGGGAGAGCAGGCAGGGGCCCCACCCCAGGCACCTGAGGGCAGCTGTGCCCAGCGCCGAAGGCGGGGAGCAGGGCACCGGGCCAGGCACTGAAGTAAGCAGTGAGCTTTGGCCAGGAGAACATACGAGAGCCAGGGACACCTGGGACCAAAGGGGCCTCCTCCAAGCGTGGCTGAGCTGTGGTCTCACATCACCAGAACCAGGGCTGCGGGGCAGGGGGGCTGCTCACTTCCGGGAGGTTTTCAGAGAGTGGCAAATTCCTAACAGGCAAAGAGAAAGGGACCGACTCCGAGGTGTTCCTGCTCTCCCCTTTTCTCGGTCGAGGAGACCAGTTATAGGCCAGGGACATCAACTAAGGAGGCAGAAGACTGGTCCTGATAGTAGCCACCTGCCCTCCTAATGGCTGTGCTGCTGGGCACAACTCCCCAGCCTTCCTGCCAGGCCTGCCCCGGCCCTGAGTTCCAGGCATGCTATCTCAGCCCTGCTGGCCACCCCGCAGGCCACAGGCAGTGACCAGGGTCCAGGCTCCTCGGCCTGGCAGCTCAGTGTCCCCCTCTGGTCTCCGGCACCTTGAGAAGACGCCCTCCCTGGGCCTGACGCTCAGCCCCAGTTTGACAAAGGGGAGCGTGCAGTGCCGTGGCCGGGCTCTGAGGGGAAGGCAGAGAGCAAGTGCTGGGCGTCTGGTGTGGACCTCAGGGCCGTGGGCACGGCAGCGGGGGCGCTGTGTGAGTCTGACAAGCCCCTTCCCCAGTGCCCCCGAGAACCTCCAGCTCCCAGGGCCCTGGGCTGTGGTTCCAGACGCAGCAGACCATGCGTCAACAGAGAAATTCCCGAGTTATGCAGTCAGCTTCATGACCTCGCAAGTGCAGACTGAGACCCGAGCGGGGAAGCTGCCTTCGATCAGCTGCTCCCTGGGGGCGGGATCGATCAGGACTGGACGTGAAGAGGAGGAAGACGCAACCGCAGGGGCCCTCGCCTGGAAGACAAGAAGGAAGAAATCAGGGCTTAGACGCTGCGTTCAGCTGAGCGGGTTCCAGAAGCACGTGTCAGATCTAGCGATGTGGAAGCCGTCCCCGTGCCCCAGGGGACACTGCCGGTCCTTGGAGCCCAGCAGATCAGAGATGGGCAGGCAAAGACAGGCTCTGTCCTGGGCCAGCAAAGAGGGGAGGTGGGAACCCCTGAGTCAGCCGCCATCCCTTGAAGCTGAAAGGGAAAAAGATGAGGGGGAGCACAAAGATAGTGGTGGGACGGGGGTCCCGCCAGGGAGTCCGTTCTGACCTCCAGGTGGCTCCCAGTGCATGGGGGGGGCAATCCGGCCGTGGTTAGATTTGTCCTGGAGCCTGGGCTGCCCGCCATGGCCGTCCTGTGAGTGCACTGCCATCACAGTGTCTGGGATTCTTCTCCTATGGCTCTGTGCTCACATGCGCTCTCCCCATGGCTGGTGGGTAAGCATGCGGGCATCACCACACTCCATGCACAGCCAGCCAGCTGTCCCCCGTGGAGGCGAGCTAACTCCATGTGCTTTGTGCTCCGCCCCCATGTGGCTACTGCATGCCCACATGTCCACCCCTCCTGACCCTGCTTGTCAGCCTCCCGGCTGGGGCCGGATGGTCCACCTTTCCTCTGGTTCCCTTGTCCACCCCTCCTCAGCTCCTGGTTC